TACTCTGCCAGTGAGACTTTTTGGCAAGTCACTTAGTGACTCCATACCTTAACTGCCTTTGAGAGACATATTGAAGCTCTGAAGGCAAGACCCCCCAGATTTCCTGGTTCTGCTACTTGCCCTGTAACCTGGGCAGGCTACCTAACATCCTAGCCTCAATTTCTCATTTATAAAAATGGAGACTTAGAATATCCACTTGAGAGTTGTAATAAAGTCTCATTTGTGGGCTTTCTTTAATATAGAGGTCTCCGTAAATGATTCTTGGTTAAGTAGTCATTAATAAGACTATATTTACTTCATTTTTTAATTCCATTTTGGTCTGGAAATTATTTCCAGTGGCTCATCTCATTTTAGTGTTCTGTTTTTTTGTACTAGTTAATATAGTAACACTTAGCACTTAATCATCTTACCTGGAATATACGGCTCCTGATAGGCAATGATTGTTCAATAAAAATTGTAGATTTTGCTTTGAATGCCTGAGAAGCTAGGAGTAAGTCTGATAATGCTAAGCAGCTGTCTTGTGAGTACAGTGCCTGACATTTGGTACTTGGGACATGCCAGGATGCAGATAAGGTGAAAACTTGCTCCATTCTGGATCCACCGTCGTGTGACTTGGTTGTAACTGGGTTTAGTCTTTCTGGAATCTCCCTACAGATGTGTAATTACATCTTTTCCCATTTCCCTCTCTTACCGCTGATGGGACACAAAAAGGTTTACATTGGATCAGTTCAGCTTGTCATCAACATTTCAGCTGCATGGAATCCAGAGACCTTTTTCCTGTCAGCACTGGATTCAGTATATTTGTTCATATGTCTCTAATGACACATTGACTCTTCTTTTTTTCTTTAGAGACCAATTTAAGGCATACCTGTAAACGGATAATGGACATGGTGAGCAATCAGCAACCGTGGTTTGGAATGGAGCAGGAATACACTCTCATGGGCACAGATGGGCACCCTTTTGGTTGGCCTTCCAATGGCTTCCCTGGGCCCCAGGGTAAGTCCCTTGGTGAGAGGTGAACCTGCCCCTCCCCTGTTGCTTAATTGGCAAGGAAAGTCTCTCTTCCTAGAGGTGGGAGTGCCCACTTATTGATCAACAAGTTATGGGACCATCCCTAAGACTGGCTGAAATAATACTGGAACGAGCCCTCTTATTGCCCAAATCCAGACATTAACAGGGAGGGAAAACAGAAGACCTTTGGCTCTACTCAGAAAGTGGCCCAGATGAGAAACCCCCCACCCCCTGCTCCTCCGGTGAAGGCCAGGATGGTAATTCCAGATAGCAAGTTTTTAGAGAGCTTTCTGAGTTCCGACTTGGGAATAATAAGAGTCTTATTAAGAATGGGATATGGGGGTTTCTGGTTTACAGCCTCCTGACATTCAACTTGGTGCCTCTGCAGGTCCATACTACTGTGGTGTGGGTGCGGACAAAGCCTATGGCAGGGACATCGTAGAGGCTCACTACCGGGCCTGTTTGTATGCTGGCGTCAAGATTGCAGGGACAAATGCTGAGGCCATGCCTGCCCAGGTAAATGGCTCCA